CTGTGGGGGAAGGGTGGCGCTACGGCTCCGCGGAGGAAAAAAACGGAGTGCAGAGAAACGGGTTTTACAGTTACAAAAATTGAAGCGACGGTGTTGGTGTTTTAATTGCATCTCAGATTTGAGGAGGATGTGGGGCTTTGAGGAGAAGGGGTCGGAGAAACGGAGACCAGGAGAGTGACATTAACGTGACTTAAGAGTTAAATAATTTTTAGGGCTGCGGACCATCTGCTCTAGTGTTTGAAAGATGTTCGTTTGGGGTCCACATACGGACCCCGGTTTTTTTTTTTTTTCTTCCACGAGTAAGAGTTTTATTATTATTATGTTTTGTATTGTTTTGAGTGAGACAGGATCTCACTGTGTAACCATCCCTGACTATCCTGGAACTTGCTGTGTAGATCAGGCTTGCCCTGCCGTCCAGTCTGCTCCCCCACCTCGCCTGGCCCACGAATATGAACTTTAATTAGCACACCTCCCAATGATTCTTGTACATCCCCCAAGTTTTGAAACGACTCTGTTAGGCCACACTTGGACAAAACGACGCCTGTCTTGTCCTTTTCAAGAAAGGCCTGTGTGGGTTAGGAAGCCCCACTGCATGGGATGTGTCTGTCAAAGGTACTTGAACCCTTTAATAATACGAGGTGTCAGTTGCTGACTATCAGGTCGGGTTTAGTCTTCCCTTTCATTCATTCCTGTTAGGAAAGTATTTTAGCTTTAAAATATTACATACAATAGTCAAGACTACCACAAACTCCTATTTGAAAAAAATGTGAATGTGTGAAGTTGACAGGACAGCATCTTTAAACCCTCGAACTTCCTAATGTGATAATCACTGGGGTCTTACAGCTTTCCTGACTTGCTCTACACATATTCTTAGTTTTAAACAGTAGAGGGATCATTTTGCGGGTGTGCACCGTAAATTTTTCAGATAACAGCAGCTTTCTATAAGATAGACTTTCTTTTAAAGTGTTTGCGTTATAGTCCTTTAAAAAGGTAACAAGCCCTTTATTTCTTTAGCTGAGTCCTCGTTGGTATACTTCTAGGTTATTTCCTGGCTTGACCAATTATTGCGCCGGGCCTTTAATCCCAGCACTCGGGAGGCAGAGGCAGGCAGATCTCTGTGTGTTTGAGGCCAGCCTGGTCTACAGAGCGAGTTCCAGGACAGGACAACCTCCAAAGCAATACAGAGAAACTCTGTCTCGGGGGAAAAAAAGAAGAACCTTATAGCTTAAAAGAATTGATAATTATAAATCTTTAATTAATTATTTTTATGTTTTTTAGGAATTTTAAATTTTAGTGTTAAAATTATGGTTGTCTTTGCTGGTTGTGTCGTTTACACTTGTAATCCTGATAGAAGCAGGCAGAACTCTGAAAATGAGCTTGGTCAACAAAGTGAGTTCTAGCCAAGCCAAGGCTACATAGTGAGACTGTCTTAAAAAAAAAAAAAAAAAAAAAAAAAAAAGGCCGGGTGGTGGTGGCACAAACCTTTAATCCCAGCATTTGGGAGTCAGGGCAGGTGTATCTCTGAGTTCAAGACCAGCCTGGTCTACAGAACTAGTTCCAGGACAGTTAAAGTTGTTACACAGAGAAACCATGTGAAATTACAGTTATTTTCAAAGGCAGGCATTTCAAGATGAGATACAGGAGTCCCTTGGACTAAATGTAGGGTAGAAACCACTTAACATTGAGAAAACCAGACTTTCTACTCTGTTTCAAGCTAGTAGGGGCATATTAAAAAATGAATTTAGTGGATCTCTGTGAGTTAAGGCCAGCCTGGTGTACAAAGCTAGTTTTAGGTCAGGCTCCAAAGCTACACAGAGAAACCCTGTCTTAAAAAACCAAACCAAAACAAAACAAAAACCCCAAATCTATTAATTTTTTTCAAGGGGTCATCACATTGGTGAGGATTGAACTAAGGACCTTGTGTGTGTTAAGCATATGGTCTCACAACTCAAATGTCTTCATTCTGATACCATCATTTTCCCTTTTTTTGGAGTCAGCAAAGCCGTCTCCAAGGAAGCAACTTGACCTCATTTGAAGAATGAGCAAGACCCCCAGATTGATTACATCATTTTATTAATTTTTTGTGTGTGGGTGGGTGGGGGGAGTCAAGACAGTCTGTCAAGGCACCTTCATTCACTCATCAGTCTCTCCAGCCAGAGTAAAACTTTGGAAGCATGGGGAAAGAAGGAAGTACAGGTGTTAAGGCAGCTGTAGTTTGAGAACTCATGATTTGGGGCAGGCAATCTTCCTGCCTATGTCAGTTGCTTCTTTGGAAATGAGGACAGTACTCCACTGCATGACACCCAGTAAGGATCAGAGTTGTATCTAATGTGCTTTGAAGAGTGTCTGACCCAGAGGTGTTGGCAATTGAATAAGAGAAACAGGTTCTACAGCTCAAAACTTAATTGTTAGGTACTATTTTATTTCTATTTTGTGGAGGGTTTAGATCAGTTGGTACAATTTGCATTTTGAAAACTTAGTACTAAAAACACTGTAAGGGAATGGTAAAAATTCTATGAAAATTCAGTACCTGAATACATTATGGATATTAAATAGTATAAACTAAGACTTGGAGACAATGAAATGGAAGTTTGGAAAGTCAGAAAAGCTTATATTCTCAATATCCAGTGAGGGGTTGTTTGTGGAAATAGGGCTGAAATATATTCCTTCTAGGTTTTGTTTTGTTTTTTTCCATGTCCCCCTCCCCCTCACACTTCAGCCATGGTTGGCAATGAGTCTGGTTGTATCACTGTCCTTAAATGAAAGGTTAAGGGATTCTTTAAAAGTTATAGATAAGGATTTTTAAAATGACCACAGGCCTTTCTACTACAGTTAACAGTTGCTATTTTTCTTTTTCTTTTTAATTATGTGTATGTCTGTATGTAGGTATGTGCATGACATGAGTGTAGTGCTTTTGGAGACCAGAAGAGGGCATCCGGTCCCCCTGGAGTGGTAGTTATAGGAGTTTGTGAGCCTCCTTACATGGGTGCTGGGAAATGAACTTGGGTCTTCTGAAAGGTCAGGATATTCATTGAGCCATCTCTCCAGTCCTTAGTTAAAAGTTTTTGTTTTGTTTTGAGATGGTGGCACACACCTTTAATCCCAGCTGTTTGGAGGTAGAGGCTGGTGGATCTCTGAGTTCCGGGGCCACCCTGGTCTACAGCGCCGGCTCCAGGACAGCCAGGGCTACATAGAAACCGTATCTCAAAAATGTTGTTTAAAGACGTTAGGATACATGAAATGAAATAAAATATTACATACCTCTATAAAACAACAAACGTGTCTTTATACACTAAAATTGAGTAAGACACAGAATTCGGAAAAAGCAGAGTGAAGAACTCATGCTTTGAGATGGGGTCTCATAATGTAGCTCAGACTGTTCTCCATCTGTTTTTTCTTAACTATGCCTGGCTTTAACAGTAGCTTAATACTGTCTTATACAAAACTTCCTGATTATTTACTTATTTTTGTTTTTTGAAATAGGGTCTCTACATAGTCCTCTCTTGTTATTCTGGAATTCATGTATTCCAGGCTGGCCTTGAATTTTCAGGGATCCACTTGCGTCTGCCTTCCTGGGGCTGGGATTAAAGACACATGCCACCACACCCTGCCATTTCCCCATTTATTGATTAAAACATACTTTGCACATTGTTTGCTTGAATTAGGACTCACATAAAGTGGTTGTGTTTCATTAGGTTTATGTTGTAAAAGTCACCATAATCTTGATGTTAGGTCTCAAACCTGGACAAACAGCATACTAAAGTGAATGCTGACTGCCAAGTTCTTCTGCACCCCTCAGTCCCTACTGTTACAGAATATGGCTACATACCCCACTCCCTACCTAAACCTCTCCAGCCCAGGGGCTGGGCTGCCCTGCCTGTCTTGGCCAGCAGCTGCTCTGCCCTCCTCCCTCCCCCATAGCCTCAGGTGGCTCAGGGTCATGTTCACTCTGGACTGTCCCAGATGTCCCTCCCTACCTCTGGCAACACTCTCCCTTTTATCTACAGTAAACTCGCCTCCACCATACTTAGGAGCAGTCGTCCTTCCCTTTTTTCTTTTTCTTTTCATGGACCCTCACGTAGTTTCTCTATGCCAAAGCTAATTGTCTCCCTTTGTTTACTTACTACCCTGTCCTCCATTTCCCATCAAATTTATATTTGATGTTAAATGTAGCCTTTTCTTTATTTTTTGGTCAATAATATTTACGGGGGTTTGTTTGCACTTCCTGGGTGCTGAGATTACAGGTGTGTGCTCCTAAGTCTTGCTGTATTAATTTTTTGGTATTAGGGATTAAACTCAGGGCTTTACACAGGCTGGGGATCCAGCACTGACTGACCTGTACAGCCTCAGTCTAACTAGTGATGAGACTCATACATGTTTTTTTTGGGGGGGGGGGGATCTGCCCTTCAAAGTCCCTGCCTTCACCAACTTTTCAGTCATTCTTTTACTTAAATGGTTTTAGTATGTGTCTTAGTTACTTCATTTCGATGAAAAGACACCATGACAAAGGCAATTTAAAAAAGAAAGCATTTAATCGAGGACTTGTTTACAGTTTCAGAGGGTGAGTCCCACAGCCATCGTGGTGGGAATGGAGCAGGCAGGTGTGGCACTGGGGCAGAAGCTGAAAGCCTACTTGTGGTCCACAAGGTCAAGGTAGAGAGAGACTGGGCCTGGCAAAAGCCCACTGCAGTGGCACACCTTTTCCAACAAGACCACATTTTTTTTTGGGGGGGGGGTTGGTTTTGGTTTTTTGAGACAGGGTTTCTCTGTAGTTTTGGAACCTGTCCTGTAACTCACTCTGTAGACCAGGCTGGTTTCAAACCTACAAGAACCGCCTGCCTCTGCCTCCTGAGTGCTGGGATTAAAGGCGAGTTCCACCACCGCCTGGTGAAAATGTATTTTTAAAAACTTTTTGGTGTTTTTGAGAGGGTCTTACTGTGTACCTCAGGCTGGCGTTGAACTCCCGAGTGTTAAGATTTTACCAGTGTGCCCTACCATGATTACCAGGCAATGCTGACACTCACTTTCCTGTGTGGTTTCTTGTCCAGGCATGTTGGAACACCATGGTCTTTACTTGGTGATTTTCCAGCTGTGTGTGTTTCCTAGCTCTTACCTTAAGCACTCTGCTCTGGAGTAACTGGTAACCTGAGAGCCAGTGGGGAAGCAGTGATTGTAAATTGACTTTCAGCTAGAACAGTTTACTCATTAGCATTGGCATTGTAGGCAGGACATGTCCAAACCTGTCTCTGTTTCAGGATTCACCTGAGGGAGGCACGGATGGTTTAGTCTCCAGCTTTTGTGCTAGAGCTGAAAGAGATTGGAGAATCTCAAAGTGAGTATTTTGCATTTGTGCAGAGCAATATGTGTATATGTCAGATTTTGTTGTTTTTAAACTGTTTTTTGGCAGTTTTGTCTTTTCTTTTTTATTCTGTTTGGAGACAGGGTCTCTGTATAGGCCCTGGCTGTCCGTAGACGTGCTGTGTAGATGAGACTGATCTTGAATTCAAAAAAAGATCCACTTACCTCTGCCTCCTGGTTGCTGGTACTAGAGGTGTGCCACCATGCCCAGATTATTTCTTTTCTTTTCTTTTCTTTTTTTTTTCTTTTTGGTTTTTCGAGACAGGCTTTCTGTGTGTAGCTTTGGAGCCTATCCTGGCACTCGCTCTGGAGACCAGGTTGGCTTCGAACTCACAGAGATTTGCCTGCCTCTGCCTCCCGAGTGCTGGGATTAAAGGCGTGCGCCACCAACACCCGGCCAGATTATTTCTTAATAAATGCTAAAGACAGATTTTTTTACTTCGCATTTATATATAATTTTTTCCCCTTTTAGTTTGCTGACTGAAGAATCTTCACTGCCAAAATGACATCACATTCCAGCTCTGCCCAGTGTTCGACATCTGATAATGCTTGCAGAATCTCTTCAGAAAGAATCAGTCAGGTAATCAGTATTGGTCATCTTACTTTTCTTTAAAAATTTTAAGAAATTGAATTCACCAATTATAATTTGCTTAAAGCAGAAGTGATGTAAAATCTTTTTTTTTTTTTTTCCTTTGAGACAGGGTTTCTCTGTAATAGCCCTGGCTGTTCTGGAACTCACTGTAGACCAGGCTGGCCTTGAACTCACAGAGATCTGCCTGCCTGGGATTAAAAGATGTATATCACCACTGCCCAGTAATTGTAAAATCTTATATTACCTATTTGAAAGTTACAGACAGCTTGAAATGGCCAAGGTTGATCTGAGTTTTCATTCCTTATGCCCCTCTGCTTAATTCTTTCATTTTGTTATACTAGGCGAGTGTTTTAGGTTACAAGTGGGTAGTAGGGAATTTAGGGCCAGGTTATTCTTTTTTGTCTCAGCTGGTTGTGATTAATTGATTTTCTTTCTTTTTGTTTGTGCAATTTACTTTTGAGGTCTGAGAAAGACAGACACAGACAGGTTGCTACTGTACAGCCCTAGCTGATCTGGACCGCCTTTATAGACCTGGCTGCTTTGAACTTGATTGATCCTCCTGCCATTCCCCAGCTGCTGGAATTCAAGGCATGTGCAACTGGGTTAGGCTAGTTAGTTTTATTTAAAAGGTTGCCTTGAAAAAAAACAAAACAAAACAAAACAAAAGGCTGCCTTAAATTGTGAATATAGCAAATATATTCTTATAATTCTTTAGGCATTTGTGGATACAGACTGTTGACCATCTCCTCTCAGATTTGGTATATCCTATTGCAGACAGACCCCACCCTTTTTTTATTTTTGGTTGTGAGCCTAGCCTTTAATGGCTGAGCCATCTCTCCAGCCCCCCACCTTTTTTTTTTTTTTAAAGATTTTTTTATTTTTATTGTATGTGTATGGGTGTTTTGCCTACATATATGTCTATGAACCACATGCAGGTGGTGCCATTGAAAACCAGAAGAGGGCATTGGATCCTCTGGGACTGGAGTTACAGATGATTGTGAGCTATTGTGTGTGCTGGGAACCAGACCCAGGTCCTTTGAAAGAGCGACATGTGCTCTTTTTTTTTACTAAATGATATATTTATTTTTATTTTATGTGCATTGGCATTTTGCCTGTATGTATGTCTGTGTGAGGGTGTCAAATCCCCTGGAGCTGGAGCTACATACAGTTGTGCGCTGCCATGAGGGTTCTGGGAATTGAATCTGGGTCCTCTGGAAGAGCAGACAGTGCTCTTAACTGCTGAGCCATCTCTCTAGTCCCAGACCTTTACCTTTAATATTTTGTTAAAAATTACTTCATTGCTGGGTGGTGGTGGCTCATGCCTTTAGTCCCAGCACTTGGGAGGCAGGCAGGCTGATCTCTGTGAGTTCGAGACCAGCCTGGTCTGTTAAGAGCTAGTTACAGGACAGCCTCCAAAGCCACAGAGAAATCCTATCTTGGGGAAAAAAAAAATATTTTTGTGTTTTCAGAAACATTTCTTCATGTTTCTGTACCTTAGTATATGGTGAAAGTAGAACTTGGAATTGGTGAAGGAAAGATGTAATATAAATTAATTTTATAAAATATTTTTTTTCTTTAAGATTTGTTTATTATGTATGTAAGTGTTCTGTCTGCATGTCTGCCTGCAAGCCAGAAGAGGCACCAGATCTCATAACCGATGGTTGTGAGCCACCATGTGGTTGCTGGGAATTGAACTCAGGACCTCTGGAAGAGCAGCCAGTGCTCTTAACCTCTGAGCCATCTCTCCAGCCCCTAAAATAATTGTTTTGTTATAGTTGGACATCTTTGGAAAACCAAATTCCAGGCAGACTAAGGATTTAAATGTCAAAAATCAAGACATTGATAGAAAAATGTAAGAAATATTTGTGAAACTTAGAATGAAAGAGGTCTTGGCGCTGAAGTGGCTATAAAAGGAAAAAAATGCAAACTTGATAATACACAATCTAAAACAAAACTGGGTTGGGTGGAGTGGTGCAGGTCTTTATAATCCTAGTACTCAGGAGGCAGAGACAGGTGGATCTCTGAGTTTGAGGCCAGTCTGAGCTACACAGTGAGAGATCCTATTTTAAATAAAACAAAAATAAAAATACAACAAAATTGTATAACATGCGCATGCTACAGGGCCAGCTTGAAGTAGAGTAGTAGGTTATAGTCTGGGCCTCCTAAGTGTTTAGAGATGATGGTGTTAGATATAGTGGGTTGGTATAGAAGTTAATACAGCATGAAGCAAACTGTGGAGTGTTGTAGAACTGGTATGTGGTCACGTGGGTCCATGAAAGAAGACACAGGGCACTTTAAGGATGATTTTTAGCCTTTATAGCTGCAGGTGGGCCCAGCCTCTCTGCACTGAGACCTTAGCCAAGGGCCCTTTACCTATGCAAAACTTAGTTGGGAAAAATCAGGCACACTGTGATATTCCTTAATGGAGAATTTGCATTTGGCATTGTCCCTTTGGAAAACTCTCAGACACTGTTCACATATGTTAAACATAAAATACTGAAGATGAAGGGTAGATTAAGGCTATGTGTCTGCATTTCAGAGCCAGCTGCAGCTGTGTAGAAGTTCTCCCTACAGTGGAATTAGAAAAGCTGTAGCTCATCTCCCTTGTTCATGGTGTGGGGGAAAACAAACTCCCATGCCTGCACCTGTCTGCTTCCTGCATAAAAATGAGGAAGTGTAGAAGCTAACTCAAAAGTAGGCTTTCCAGTTCTATAATACAACAGTGTTATAAATGTACTGATTCTGCAAGATCTCAGACTGTTGCACCAGAAGATGACATCTATTTTTCTTAGTGCTTATTTTAACCAAACAAATTTGGATATTTGGATAAAATTTGTTTGAATTAGATAAAACCCTATCTCTTAGACTCATCAGTGATGGGGGAAGTGCTTCTATGTATGTGTTTGTCTTAATGGATGATAAATAAATTACTGTTTGGCCAACGAGGCAGCAAGTTAGGTGGGACTAGGAGTCATGTAGGATTCTGGGAAATATAGTCAAAGATCCAGGCAGGAAGTGACATAGCGAGCAGACTTAGTATATAAGCAAGGGCAAGAAGGAAGTCGTCCCCTTTTCTCTTCTACCTGGTCTCTACTCTGGAGTTGCCATGTGATTCACCGGCAAGAAAGGGCGCCAGCAGAAGGCATCCTTTATAAGATAAGTCTTATAAAATATATAGATTTAAAGAGCTAGCAGATGAGAAATCCTAGTCATTGGCCAGCAGCATTTGTACCTAATATAAGTAAGTCTCTGTGTGTTACTTGGGACCTTAACGTGGTGGCGGGCCTCCGGTGGATGGAGTAAAGACTTATTGTAACAGAATGGTGTCAGTGAGTGGGATGACCTCACACTCTGAGGTTCTCAGAGGAAGCAGGTAACCTTCTGCCAAAAGCCGCCAGGCTCCTTGAGCTGCCTTCCCGAGTCTAGTCCAGTGTCAGCAGCACTTGGGCAGCCTGGCAGAAAATGCCCATGTGGCGACAGGGCTCGGGTAGCTTTGGTGGAAAGACTTATTTTACACATCAGCCTGTTTTGTCTTTTAGAGATAGGATTAATTTTTTTTTTGTTTTTTTTTTTTTGAGACAGGAACTCTCTGTAGACCAAGCTGGCCTCTGACCTCGTGAGTGCTGGAATTATAGGCGTGTACCACCACCCACCTGAGATAGAGTTAATTTAAGTTGGTCCCAGTCTGTAAATTTTGTTTGTCTTTTTGCCTATCCTTCCTATTATGGGGATTGAATTTAGGCCTCATGCATTCTAGCCAAGTGTTCTACCACTGAGCTATATCCCCAGTCGCCTTGTGTTTTTTTTTTTTGCTTTTTGTTTGCTTTAAAGAATAAAACTTTCCCTATATAGAAGAATCTTTATTACTCAGAAATGTAGGTAGTTGGCTGTAGAACTTTCTTACCTAGAGGTGCTTAATTACTGTTTTATTCAGGCTTATGCCCAGGATGTGTTCTGAGGAGTAGAATCTGTGTATTATCTATCATTCCACAGTCATAGCTGCCTCTGCTCATTCTTGCCACTCACCGATAGCTAGCTCATGGTGAAAACTGCTTCTTTTCCTTACTCTGTGCTCTGTCTTCTGGCCAGTACAGCTAAATTGGAATGGAATTTCATGGACTCATTTCTACCTAAGACTTTAATTTCCATCTAAATTAGTAGGAAGTAGAGAATTACTGAGGAGTATTGGGTTTTCTTTCTTTTCCTTCCTTCCTTCCTTCCTTCCTTCCTTCCTTCCTTCCTTCCTTCCTTCCTTCCTTCCTTCCTTCCTTTTTTCCCCCGAGACAGGGTTTCTCTGTAACTTTGGAGCCTGTCCTGGCACTCACTTTGTAGACCAGGTCAGCCTCGATCCACCTGCCTCTGCCTCCCAAGTGTAGGGACTAAAGGTGTGCACCACTACTGCCTGCCTTTTTTTTTCTTTTCAGAAAGCAATGTAATTGAAATATAAATAGCAACTTTATGCTGGGTTAGTGCAGAAAGATCCAGAGTTCAAGGTCATCTTCTATTACATAGTAAGTTCCAGGCCTGTTGGGTACATCAAAATTCTGTCTTCATATTTTACAGCAGGTACGACCAAAACTGCCACTTCTGAAGATTTTGCAGACAGCAGGTGCTCAAGGTGAAGTATTTCTGGGACCAAACCTGCCACTTCTGAAGATTTTGCAGACAGCAGGTGCTCAAGGTGAAGTATTCACCATGAAGGAGGTAAGTCATTGAAGACAGTCCCAATTTTAAGAACAGTAGAGGCCATCATATGCACAGTTCTGAAATCTGGGCTAAGAAAGGAAGTTGTACTACCAAAGGAGAGCTTTTGCTGGTATAAAGACTGTCTTACTAACTTCCTGTTTCTCTTAGAGTTCCTTTTGAAGTGTGTGTGTGTGGTCAGCTGCAAATAGTTCACTGACACAGGAGTGCTAATGCTAATGCTGCATGTATGGGTTTAAAAAAGTGTCTCCGATTTACTGCCAGGCAGGGATTTTTTTTTTTGTTTTTTTTTTTTGTTTGTTTTGTTTTTGAGACAGGTTTCTCTGTGTAGTTCTGTAGACCAGGCTGGCCTTGAACTCACAGAGATCTGCCTGCCTCTGCCTCCCGAGTGCTGGGATTAAAGGCTTCCACCTGGCTTGCCAGGCAGGAATTTGATGCAATAATGTTGTCATTGTACATTTGTCAGATACTTTATGAGCACTGAGTCATTTAGTCAATTTGAACATTTAGGAATTTAAATAACTTACTTAGGATCTGGAAGCTTTTTTTAAAGCTACCAAAGTACAATGAATTCTTTAAGTGGAAAGCAGTATTAAAATATTAATATACTCAAACAGTTTACGATTAGTATGATAGATCCTTCACCTTTCCTAAGCAGAAAACAAAATCATGGAGTTCTTTTACTTAGAAGTGCCGCATCTATCAGTACCACTCCTGAGATCACAGATGTCTTTTACTTGCTTTCGATATTAAACAAGAGCGTACTGATTGAGTAAAAAGTTTGATGTGTTTTTTTAACCTACCTTTAAAAAACATTTCAGGGTTAGGTGGGAGGACAGAAGGGAAATAAGCATTAAAAATATTTCAGTAGATAGCTCTCTCCTCCCCATCCCTTCCCTTTTCCCTTTCATTCCCTCCCTTTCTGTTTATCAGAAAATTTATCCAGGTTTTTTGGCAAACAGTACATCAACCTAGATAATATAATAAAGGTTCTGTGATTTGCTTCATCTACATGTAAAAGGGCACTTTGTAAGTTTAGAATCATGAGTTTCTGAAGCCTGAGAAGAAAAAGCTAGGTAGACTAGATTCTGTTTTGATTTTTTTTTTTGTTTGTTTGTTTGTTTGTTTTTCAAGACAGGGTTTCTTTGTGTAGCTCTGGCTGTCCTGGAACTGGCTTTGTAGGCCACCTACCTCTGCTCTGGTGTATGCCACCACCACCCAGCTCTGGCTTTTATATTAGGAATAATGATCCATTAAACTTTGGATATTTGTCAATAGAATACTGAGTTGCTATGTTTTTTCACTGTCAGATCAATATATTTTGATACAAAAATCTCTGGCTCTGTTGATGGATGAGTAGATGAACCTAGTAGTAGGAAGCATCTCTTTGTTTGGATATGCCATCAGCATCCAAACACTGGCAGTCTTGTATGTCTTTCTCATCTAACAAAATGTCTCAGTCACTCATGGGTAACTGGTTTTGGTAGTAGTCAGGTAGATCATTCATTTCATGGTGTTTTATTTTCATGTAGGTAATGCACTACCTAGGCCAGTATATAATGGTGAAGCAGCTCTATGATCAACGGGAGCAACATATGGTATATTGTGGTGGAGATCTTTTGGGAGATCTGCTTGGACGTCAGAGTTTTTCTGTGAAAGATCCAAGGTACAAAGGGTGAGGGTTTATGTATCTTTGAGTGCTTATACTTGCTCACTCTAGCTGTATAGTTTTGTTTTGCTTTTTTAGTAAGTATTTTAGGGGCTGCATATGTTATATAGCCAGTGAGATACATGCAAATTTCAGTAGTGAACAGTGTGGGCAGTCTGATAATGGCAATGCGGTATACTAATTGTCTTCATACATGGTAAAATAACATGACAATGAGAGCTATGGAAGAAAAGTACATGAAATGGGAAATGGCTGGGACTTAGAGTGTCAGAGGTTCCTTAAAAAAGTAAATTTGAGCTGAGCTGGAGCAGTTCTTATTTTATTTATTTGGGTTTTTTGAGACATAGTTTCTCTGTGGCTTTGGAGGCTGTCCTAGAACTAGCTCTTGTAGAGCAGGCTGGTCTGGAACTCACAGAGATCTGCCTGCCCCTGCCTTCTGAGTGCTGGGAGTAAATGTGCGCACCACCACCGCCTGGCCGAAGCTAGTGTTCTTAAGACAATTTTTTTAGTAGTTTTATTTCATGTGTATGAGTGTTTGGCCAGCATATGTATGTCTGTGTCCCATATATATGTTTGCTAAGGGAGCCCAAAAAAGGCTTCAGATCCCCTGGAATTGAAGCTAGAGATGGTTGTGAGCCACCATGTGGGTGCTGACAGTTGAATTGTTTGTAAGAACAGTTTGTGTGCTCTTCAGCTGAGCCATCTGTTTGTCCCTCCCTCATCTTCCAGTGGTTTCCCTCTCTGAATAGTGATTGCTTCCCCCCCCCCCCCCCCCCGATCTTATTTTGTCTTACCATTGAGAAATCTTCCTTTCATATTCTCATTTCTCAGTCAAAAGTAAAACTTGGGGCTGGAGAGATGGCTCAGCGGTTAAGAGCACTGACTGTTCTTCCAGAGGTCATGAGTTCAATTCCCGGCAACCACATGGTGGCTCACAACCACCTTGAATGAGATCTGGTGCCCTCTGCTGGCATGATGGCAGAAGACTGTATACATAATAAATAAAATCTTAAAAAAAAAAAGTAAAACTTGACATCTAAAAGGAAAGAATAATTTTCAAAGGCAATCTCCCCATCTTATTGGGAACAAGATAGCAAGGGCTGGACATTCACTTCTTTTTGGTATTTATTTAAAGATTTGTTTATTGGGGACTGGAGAGATGGCTCAGAGGTTAAGAGCACTGACTGCTCTTCCAGAGGTCCTGAGTTCAATTCCCAGCAACCCCATGGTGGCTCACAACCATCTGTAATGAGATCTGGTGCCCTCTTCTGGTGTGCAGATATACATGGAAGCAGAATGTTGTATACATAATAAATAAAATAAAAAAAAAAGATTTGTTTATTTATTGTGTATACAGTGTTCTTCCTGCATGTACGCTTGCACACCAGAAGAGGGCACCATATTTCATTACAGATGGATGTGAGCCACCAAGTGGTTGCTGGGAATTGAACTCAGGTTCTCTGGTAGAACCAGCCAGTGCTCTTAATCCCTGAGCCATTTCTCCAGCCTCTCCTTTTGGTTTTTTTAAATAGGGTCTCACATTAGCCTTTGGTAGGCTTAAAATCAGTATGTTGCTAAGAATAACCTTGAACTTAATCTTCTAGCCTGAACCTCCAAATGCTGGCACTAAAGGGGTATACTTCTATGTCTGGCTCCTTCTTGATACTTAAATTATTTTAAAAAATTGTGGGAAAAGATTGTGTCTGTCTAAGAGAAAGTAGGTAGGTAACATACCACAGGTACATTTAATATATAATAAAAAAACCCCACAATATTTATATATTGTTTCTTTTGCAGCCCTCTCTATGATATGTTGAGAAAAAATCTTGTCACATCAGTCCCTGTTAACACAGGTATGTCGTGTGTTTCTTCAGTCTGTATTGAAACTTTGATTTAAGGGAGCAATTGGTGGGAATAAGGGCCAAAATGAAAACGCAGTGCTGTCTGTGACATGACTATCATACAGAATGGTTTTACTGTTAAGTTCTCCCTGGTAAATTCAGTCATACTGAAGCTACAAGAAGGAGAGATGCCTGCATCCTAGATGTATTTCTTTTTCCTTTGTGTGGCACAGGGGGTTTAGCCTAGGGTCTGTATTCATATGCTCTAACACTGACCTACATTTCTAGGGTCTGTATTCATATGCTCTAACACTGACCTACATTTCTAGGGTCTGTATTCATATGCTCTAACACTGACCTACATCTCTAGGGTCTGTATTTATGTGCTCTAACACTGACCTACATTTCTAGGGTCTGTATTCATATGCTCTAACACTGACCTACATTTCTAGGGTCTGTATTCATATGCTCTAACACTGACCTATATTTCTAGCTTTCTGTTTACTGTTTTGAGACAGTTTCTCCTTAAATTGCCCAGGCTGGCCTTGAACTCACTCTGTAGCGCATACAGGTCTTGAATTTGTGGATTCTTCTGCCTCTGTCTTCCCAGAAGCTGTATTTCCTTGTCTGTGGAAGCAGACCCAGCTTAAATTTAGTAATTATATATAAACATTGCATTATATTTGCTTCATCTTTATATACTTAAAAAATCTCTTAGATATGGACCTTTTCTCTTCAGACATAACCATATCATTACTATACTCATTAGTAATAATAAAATTAGTAAGTGTTCCCTAATCCTATTGAATAAACTGTTTGTAGTTTGTTTTTCCTCTCATCCATCTTAAAAATACCCTTTATGTTTGGTTTGTTCAGGTGAGGATCCAAAATCCATACATTGCATTGGGATTATTGCAAAAAAACAAAAAAATTTGCCTGCCCTCTGTGTGTGTGGGTGTGTGTGAGAGCGGTTTGGTTTGACATTAAATAGATACCTTTTTTGAATGTCACATAACATTTACGTATTTGTGGGGTACCATGTATTTTGTTATGTATAGAATGTTCAGTGATCAATTTGGAATAACTTAACATACCTACCATCTCAAGTTTAGCTTTTTTTGTATGTGGGAGGTATTCAAAGATCTCAACTTCTAACTATTGAAATATTCAGTAACTTGCTGTGACTACCTTATTATGGTATGGGATGGATGCTTCATTTGGTTTTCATATTTGTTGAAGATTTGAGTAATTTGACCTGTAGTATTGCCTGTGTTCTAGAACTGACAGATTGTGTCCTTGTGATTGTGTTTCTTTACCCTTGCTGTTTTAGTGTAATGCTTGAATAGATTCAGATTTAAATTTCTCTGCTGACAGATGGTCATTGATGGTGCTTTGGACTTACTTTTTCTCCCCTTTGTACGTCTCACATTAGTTATGTGAGCCTGTCCCTCTTTCACATATGATTCTGTGGACTCTTGGTAGAATTGCTCTGATCCATCTATTACAAAGGTTCTCCCCAAAATTTTTACCTTAATAATTTTAGTCATTTGTTTACATAACACACATTTCTTTACTTATTCATGAGATGGAGTCACATGTTGTAGTTCAGGTTGGCCTGGAACTTGCTATGAACCCCACCCAGGCTAGCCTCAAACTTGGAAATATTGCCTATCCTGACCTCCTGAATGTTGGGATCCCAGGCATGAACTGCTACACTTGGCTCAATAAACTGTAATATGTAAGCCATTTTGACTCTTCCCAGGCCTTTTAAATACTGTTTTTGAATTTGTTAGTTATGAGGAGAAAACTGGCTATTTTGGAGTCTTTTTCCAAAGTGCTCGGGTAGAGATGGTACTGAAATGTATGTGGTACTCTCACTCTGGACAATGAAACTGTCTCCTCTTCTGTTTGCCTCATTTAGATCTGAGGGAAACCGTCCAAGTTATACTATCTCACTAGATTTTGCTCATGTTCTTGGAAGTAAATAGACTGCAAAGAATCTTCCTAAATCTCTTTTCATGTCCGTGAAAGACACTATGGGGGAACTTCAAATGAGAGGCAACTTTATTGAAATGTAGTCATTTGTGAACTAACATTTTCTTTGGAAAGTCACTGATGACTTGGAATACATGAAGGGTTTTATAATTTTGATTTGTATATTCAGTTAAATTTGTTTTCTGATCCATCCTCTGAATATTTAGAGTGAGAGTATTCTTATTTCACTCCTCTTATTTTCTTTCTTGTACCTTTTCTGCATATATCTTTCTCTATAGTGTATTATAAAGATAAAGAACATTTCTTTAACAATTCAGTTCATTTTTGCAGCCACCCTGTGAAAAGGTCCTAGAGGTAAAGAAACAGAAGGTTTTATGCTAGTCCGTGATTCGCCCAGTACCAGACTCTTGATCACTGGCCATTTTGGGCCATCCATTATGCCACACACTGATGTGTCCTTAACCCTTCTTTAATAGAATTTGCTCCACACTTCTAATTGTTTTGGATACACATTTTTCCTCTGAATATTAAGTTATTAAAATTTTTTACTTGTCATTCTGAAGAAACTTTGTACTTGAAAGCCACAAAACCCTAATGGAGTGGTGAATACCAGTAATCCCATTACTTGGTAGGTAGAGGTGGAGGATCTAAAGTTCTAGTCTGTTGTGGGCTACGTAGTCTCAGGGAAAAAGAAAAAGTATTTAGTATTTATCATGCTTTTTACTCAGATTCCCTCACTGGCAATATGTAACACAACCATAGCATAATGATGCCTCAGGAAGTTGCTGCAAGGAACTTTTTCAAGGTTTAAAAATTTTATGTATGCATGTAGGGTCTCATAGGGAATTGTGTAAGGAGTTTGGATTGTCTGCTTTGACTTGCTCTTATAGTTAGTGCTTATGGTTGGATATCTTGTTGACCTGAAAACAAATTGGATTGCATGTGGATTGAAAGGAGAAATGGAAAAAAAAAAAGTCCTTTTTTTGGTGGGGGGCGTTGAGACAGGGTTTCTCTGTGGCTTTTGGAGGCTGTCCTGGAACTAGTTCTTGTAGACCAGGCTGGTCTTGAACTCACAGAGATCCGCTTAAAAAAGTGCTTTTCTTATAACTTTTGTACCATTGAATGTGGTTTTAGACTTTTATTTTGATGTTGAAGAAAATGGTTATTATTTAAAATGAAGGTGGTTCTTTTTAAATAATTTGTCCAACTATCCCTAGGTATACTAATAAAATGACAAGCTAATTGAAGTTTTCTAGATTTTTTTTTTTTTTTTTTTGCTTTTTAAGTAGTTTAGCTTAAAGTAATAAGGCTTTTTAGTAATAAGACTCACCACAGGTTGCTTTTTTTTTCCCTCGAGAGAGAGAGTGTTTCTCTATGTAACAGCCCTGGCTGTCCTGGAATTCACTCTGTAGACTGGGCTGGCCTTGAACTCACTGCCTGTCTCTGCCTCCTGAGTGCTGGGATTAAAGGCAAGGGCAACCATCACCTGGCAAAATATTACAACTTTGAAAAATGTTTGTTTTGTGCAAAATGACTGAATTGTCAGAGTAGTTAGAGTCTAGATCTGGGTTCTCAGCAGTCAGTTGGATGCTGCTGCTATTTTCTGTGAATGTGTCTTTCTGGCTCTGCTAGTGCCTGGTGAACCCAGTCCTTAGCAGGCACAATGAAATGTATCTCAGTTACACAGAGCTTATAGTAACGGTATAGGTCAGGTTAGCATCTCAGTAGGTTATTCTTTTCTGTAGTCATGTTTTTAGGTTTTGTTTCACTTGAGACCTTTGTAGGTCCTTGGGATACATTTCCCTCTTCAGCTAATGCAATATAAGGATGTCTGTCTGGGCTGTTAGATGGCTCAGTGGGCTAAAGGACTTCTGTACAAGTCTGATGACCTGAACCTACTGTGGAATGAGAGTACTAACTCCCAAAGTTGTCTTCTGACCTTCATAACGCAAGTGTGACATGAGTGCCCATTATACACAATAATAGTAGATAAGAAAAATTTAAAAAGGAATTTCTCTCAGCTATGTTCTCTCTTCTCTCTTTTCTATCTAATTCTGTTGATTGTTCAGAGAGAAACATTCATTTCTTCTTAAAAAATGTTTGTTATCACTGAGAAGAATAAGACTTAGTGACAGTCTGTATTCAGGTGAATGAAATTCAGATCATGAAGTCACCATTGGCATTTGGAATACAGTTTAAGGTTTGCTTCAAGGTGGAATTGTTTTCTGGAACAAGTCTGGCAAATTTCTGGTTTTCAGATCTTATAATACAACATTTAAAAATACAAACTAAAATAAATAAGTGATGTTTGTTGTTTATAAGGTAGGCAGTTTGTTGATGTAGGAAGAGATGAACACGACATTGTTTTCTGCTTGAGGTCACTTTTTGCATAAAAATTTGAACACATGCCATGGAAGAACATATTCAGCCTCTTTTGCTTTCTCCCAGATTGTTCTGGTGTTCTCTTTTACCATAGCCTGTCTTGGTTTTTGTTATTTTTAGCAGTTTTGGTTTTTCCCCATCTTGGGAATGAGAGTCTTCCAGGCAGAAGTCCATCTATAGAAAAGAAGCCTCCTCAGGGCTGTTTGCTGAGGTTTTGTGGAAAGAATGGTTATTACCAGGGAAGGTTTTCCTTTTGTTTTACTTGCTATCCAGATGCTGCTCAGACTCTCGCTCTCGCACAGGATCACAGTATGGATATTCCAAGTCAAGACCGACTGAAGGTAAAATCACCACACGGTGACTTCTTTTCTTGTACAGAGTGGCCCCTTCTCTGTACCTGTGGATCTTGGGCTCCCAAGGCCTTTTCATGAATGTGGTAAGAATTTAGTAAGAAAAGTCCTTGGGAGTTCACAGACCAGGGACAGAGTGAACCTTCTCTGTTCTGCCCTTAACAGAGTTCCAGTCTCTGAATGTGTCTTTGGGATGTAGCACTTCTGATTTTCACTTCTTCCAGTTGCTCTCTCTCTTTCTCTGTCTCTCTCCCTATCTGTCTGTCTGTCTATCTCTTTCTGTGTGTGTGTGTGTGTGTGTGTGTGTGTGTGTGTGTATGCGCATGCACACGCGCGCTCTTGAGTGTGAATGTGTTTGCATGCATGTGTTTGAGATGGTACATATTCAGGTTTTTGAGGAATTGCTGTATTAGACTGTAGCAGGCTCGTTGCAGTTAAGTTCATGTTATGCCATTTCCTAAAGTTTCCTCAAACCTGGGGAAACTTTAAGATCATCTTGGAATATGGTGAGGATGTTACATGTTTTCTGAATTATGCCTAATATGAAATAGGCTGTGCAGACAACCTGTTTTGTTAAGAGTTTTTTTTGTCCTTTGTACAGTTGTTATTCCCCTTCCCCCAAGTTTGGGATTCTGCTAGCTCTTTTCATGGTGTTGAGAGGTGTTGTGTTGCTTTACTTGACAACTCTTGTCAGCTGCAGAGCTTTCTTTCTTGTGCGTAACCCATTGTGTTGCACACTAACTGGTAAGCCAGAATGGAACTGCTACATCCCCTGGTCTTAGTCATTTCTGCTATACTGATAGACATCCTTCCCTTTCAGCGCAGTGCAACAGAATGCTCCAATTCCAGAAAAAGAAATGAAGAAGATGATACTCTTACACTGCCTACCTCACAACATAAACGCAGAGATTCTAGAGGAGGTAAGCTTTAGATTAAGACTCTTCCTCCCTCCTTTCTTTCTCCTTCATTTCTACTTGTAGAAATGGCATCTGCTGTGGTCATGCCACAGCCTGGATTCAGGTCCTGAGAAGGGGAAGGGGTGTCGGCATTAAGAAATGCCAGATGAGTTTCACACAAGTGGTCGGGCCCAAATAGTTCCAGCTGTCTTTATTTATACATCAAAAACAAGCATCAAGCATGTTTTCCCATACTAACAAACAAGTTTTTCCATCCTCTAATGTTAACCTCTGGCAAAAACAAATGTCAAATGTTTTCTCCCAACTTTTATATCAAAACATCTTTAAACCAAAAACAACTTTTATCATTTTGCTAGCTTGGTCAAATATTGAGCCAGGTACATCCTGTCTTTATAAGAGTAAAAGGTTCAAAACATGTTTACAGAAATAGGGGTGATCTGCTTCCATCCTGTGAGCATTGAATCAGACAGCTCCCGGGGTCTGAAGTAATGGCTGCCATCTCTAGCCAAGAAACCTGAAAAGTATCAGTTCCTAAAGAATTTTAGGGGGAAATGTTCGAGAAAAAATGGGGTTTCCAGGAATGATCACATCTGTCCCATGCATGACTGACAATATTGACACTAAAACTGCCAAGAGAATCTTGAGTATTATGAGAGAGAAGCGAGCATTCTGCACTGTCCCGAAGTCCACTGGTCCTTGCCAAGTGAGACTGTCCCTGTGGGCTTTTGCCTCATCTGAGACCCGTTGGACAATCATTCATGTGCTATTCTGAAACTAGGCTGCCCGACTCCCAGCAGGCATCCATCTAGATAGTAGGTATTCTTTGGCAGCTCTAAACACCGAGTAGTACAGGACCCGTGCATGAGATAGCAAGCTTGAGAGGATGCTGCTTGTTCGAATTTGCTCTTGTCACGTTCTCTGTGTATAGACATAGATTCTGTGCTCGGCCTTTTGAGTTTTGGTCGCCCTCTGTAGACTTCATATTTTGACTTGGCTTTTAACTTTGGAGGTGGCAACTAGTTTTTAATGATTTAAAGTTTACAAAAATGGCAAAATATATGTAGCAGCACAGTGTATGTAACAGCACAGAGGCAAACATGAGATAGCATGAGATAGCAAGTTGAGTAGTTCTGTTGCCAATGGAGAACCTTTCATTCTGCTAGCCACATGGTGAAGGGAGTGAGTTAACTGATAATTTGGAAGTTTCTCTTAAAATATTTTCTGAAATTTTGGAGGGTTTTTCCTTTTTTTTTTTTCTTTGTACAAAACCACAAATTTCCCCAAAGGTATTTAGTTTATGGCATAATGCTTTCTAGTGTCTGGTTCCTTGGTCATAATTGGGTCAAAGGCAGATTAGACTTTGGATTGTATCTTAAAATGTTATGTTGCTAAAGCTGTTTTATAACATGTTTTAATTAAATTTGAATTAGTTTATCATACTGGCTTGTTTTCTCACTGTATTTGAACATAAATTGATTTTTAATCTATGTGTTTACATTTAAGGTATTTTAGTCTTTTAAATGTGTGCTTTTATATCAAATCCTTATTTCTACTCACAAAAAGCTTTTTAAAATAATAGCTCAAGACACTATATGCAATTTGTGATAGAAATTTAAGAATGAATAGTTCCAGAATTCTCAGAAAGATCTATAGGTAGAAAGGACAGCATTTTTACCTGTGGAAAGTATTATTTGTATTCCTTTCATAATAAATCTAGAGCTTGATGCCTTTAATGATTCTGTCTTGGGAATTAGTTTCTGATCATTACAGTAATGAATGGATGAAAATGTAATTGAAGTTTCTCTGGCCACAATGCCTATGATAACAGCAAAATGTAATTAATTAGTTGTACTCTGGTAGGGACCAGTTTATTGCAGAAATCTTTGAATCATATGTGCCTCGGCACATTTATGCTTCTGTGATTGCCATCGTCAAGTCCAGTGCATTGAGAAGAGGTAGAAAACAGTGAGGAAGTAAGGAAAGGGTAAAGTACTAAAGGACCAGAAAAGATTACTTACCACAACAAGAATGAACTTAATTACTATCTAGGTCTTTACTTAAAATATGTGGGCCCTTGTCATCTGCAGTACTTTTAGGCACTGATCTCTCAAGGAGCCCTTAATCCAAAGAAAACACATATATGTGTTTATTTGGATAGTTGGGAGTTCTCTGTTGATAGTTGTTACCTAACAAAACATGCATTACTGATAAGTATCCCAGATATGTGGCCAGTAAGACTTCAACCTTGTGAGTCCCTATTAGGATCTTTACCCCTCTGCTTTGGTCTCAGGGCTTTGGCTACTTCATCATTACCATTTGCAGTCCACTGGCTAAGCCATTATCAAGACATGTATTAGAGTAAGTCATTATGGTTACCTGTTTTTGAGACCGGTTCTCACTATCCTGGAACTTGCTATGTGCTAGGATTAAAGGCAGGCATGTGTTACCATGCCTGGCTCTAAGTCATTATCATTGTTTATTAAAGTGTTAGGAAAGTTTAAGATTGCAGAAAATGGTCTTTTTGAAATTCCTTTAGAACATTGTGTTCAGATGCTTTTCAGAGTTTTGTGTCCTGAAGTGATCTTCTGTTCAGTGTTACTACTTGAAACCTAAATGGGAGCTTTGAGCCATGCCACTAAGGTATTTATTTCTGCTTCTTTCTTACTGAAAATAGGAGTTACTTTTTACTTACTTTTACAAAGATTGTTAAGTATTCTGAGAAAATCTTAGTGGTCTTTTTTTTTTACCTACAGTTATTTTCATTTGATTTCTGTAGATGAAGACTTAGTAGAACATTTAACTCAAGATGAGACATGTAGGCTGGATCTTGACTTTGAGGAGTGGGATGTTGCTGGCCTGCCATGGTGGTTTTTAGGGAACTTGAGAAACAACTATATACCTAGAAGTAATGGCTCAACAGATTTACAGACAAATCAGGTAAAAGTCAAATCTGTTTTGTTTTGTGCTGTTTTGTTCTTGCTTACTCTGACTGTATTGCATCCTCAGCTAAACATGTATACTGCTTTGTTGTATGTGTATGAATATGATGCTGACGTTTCCAAATTCCACAATGAACTGATATATATAAGTGGTGGTCATTCTTACTGACCTTGAACATGAAATCGATGTTTTTTTTTTTTTAACTAAGCACTCCTTCCCTGTCTTTTCTTTCTATTTAATAATTTTAGCCAAACTACAGGATCTACTCACTTCATTCTCTGTCATATGCACTCCGATTGTCAGGACTTTATCCAGAACACATCAGAAGCTAACCTGTTTTATATTAAACTTATTTAATTGTCATAACCCAATTTAAGCCATTACTGTTTTTCATGTAGGTAGTGGGGCAATTTCATACCATAGCTACATTTCTTGGTTTTAATATTTTTGATTTTTAAAAAAGCACGTGTGTGTGTGTGTGTGTGTGTGTGTGTGTGTGTGTGTGTGTGTGTGTGTGTGTGTGTGGGTGTGGGGGGTGGGGGGTGTGTGTGGAGTAGAAGGGTGGAGAGTGTTGGGTCTCCTGGAACTAGAGTTTCAACAATTGTGAACTGCTATGTGGGTACTGGGAACTGAACTTGGTACTCTTGGTTTTTCGAGACGGGGTTTCTCTGTGTAGCTGAGAAACCAGGCTGGCCTCGAACTCACAGAGATCCGCCTGTCTCTGCCTCCCGAGTGCTGGGATTAAAGGCGTGCACCTCCAACTCCCGGCTGAACTTGGTACTCTTAACCACTGAGTCATCTTTCTAGTCTTGGGTTCCAGGACCAGGCATGAATTTTCTCCTGTGGAACTGTTCTCATATGTAATCAGGAAGTGGTTGGTATACTGGCTGGTTTTGTGTGTCAGCTTGATACAATCTAGAGTCATTGGAGAGGAAGGAACCTCAGTTAAGGAAATATCTCTATGAAGTCCAGCTGTAAGGTATTTTCTCAATTAGTGGTCAGTGCAGGAGGGCCCAGCCCCCTCTTGTGTGTTGCCATCCCTGGGCAGGCTGTCCTGGGTTCTTAAGAAAGCAGGATGAGCAAGCTATGTGAAGCAAGACTGTAAGCAGCACTCCTTTGTGGCCTCTGCATCAGCTCCTGCCTTTGTGATCCTGCCCTGTTTGAGTTCCTGTCCTGACTTTTTCAGCTGTGAAACAGCAATGTGGAAGTGTAAGCCAAATAAACCCTTTCTTCCCCAACTTGCTTTTTGGTGTTGGTGTTTCATTGCAGCAATAGAAACCCTAGCTAAGATGCTTGGTTACCCCCATAGCAGACCATTATTACACCAGAGGGGCACATCTCACCTGATAAGTTGGTATTATAGGGTTCTTCTCATCTAGGTAAGACCATTAATAAATTTCTTTCCAAGAGTACATTTTTGGTGTTGTATTTTTGTTTTTGTGAGACAGGGTCTCTACGTAGCCCTGACTGTGTGTCCTGGAATTTAACAGTGTAGATCAATTTAGTCTCAAACTCACAGAACTCTGCCAGCTTTTGCCTCCTGAGTTCTTGGCAAGAGTAAAATCTCCTCCCCACCCCCACCCCCAGGGTTTCTCTGTGGTTTTGGAAGCCATCCTGGAACTAGCTCTTGTAGACCAGGCTGGGCTCGAGAACTCACAGAGACCCGCCTGCCTCTGCCTCCTGAGTGCTGGAACTAAAGGTGTGTGCCACCACCACCTGGCCAAGAGTAAATTTGTAATGAATAACTTAACATTATTGCCATATTTATAATTCTTCAGTGGGATCAGAAAACAAATAGATTAAGATCTAGACTCCTTACCATAGATGGTAGCTTGTCTGTAGCTTGTCTTTATCAGTCTTCATTGTTCACTGTCTGCATTCTACACGCACAAAACTTTAATCCTGATATTCTGATTTCCTTTCTTTCCTAGGCAATTAAATTTGTTTTCTGCTTTGTGAAATGTTTTTTTCCCCCAAATCTTTTTATTTCCTTCTCATGATTTAGAACTTGACTTGAATGTAATTTCTTTTTAGAGGTCATCATCACTAGTTCCAAGATTATTTTGTTGCATAATTCCAGAGGGATCCATTTCTTATTTTGTTGATATGCATTGTAATTCTATGAAGTAATCTAGTAAAACCCACTCTCAAAAGTGCCTCCTCTCCAGCCACCCTATTCCTTTTAACTTTTTTTTAAGTCCTTTTTAAATTTTAAAAGCTAGTATATAAAGTAACGGGTTTCATTATAGCATTTCCATATATAATTTTTTGAGTAAAAATGGTTTTATTAACCACAAAAATGAGTAAACAAATAATCTGGACATTCAGAATATCAATCAACTTTTAAGACATCGGCATAAGAATTAGCAATTTTATTATTTATTTTTTGTTTTAGCAAAATAAGATAAAAACCACCAAATCAAAGTTGGACAAGGCAAACCAACAGAAGGAAAAGAGCCCAAGAGAAGACACAAGAATTAGAAACTCACTTGTTCACACACAAGAGTCCCATAAAAATACTAAACTGAAATCTATAATATATACACAACTGGCACAGACCTGTGCAGGCCCTATACTTGCTTATTCCTTCCATCTCTGAGTTCATATGAGCTTGGCTCAATTGATAGGTAGGGTTTTTAGATTTTTTTTTTTTTTTTTTTTTTTTTTTTTTTTTTTTTTTTTGAGATAGGGTCTCACTATGTAGCTTTGGTTGTCTTGGAACATAACTACATAGACCAGGTTGGCCTCAAACTCAGAGATCTGCCTGCCTCTGCCCCCTGAGTGCTGGAATTAAAGGTATATGCCAATATGCCTGACTCTATATTTCATTCTTTTTTGTTTTATTTTATTTTGTTATTTTTCTTTTTCGAGACAGTGTTTCACTTTAGTTTTGGAGCCTGTCCTGGAACTCGATCTATAGATTAGGCTGGCCTCGAACTCACAGAGATCTGCTTGCCTCTGCTTTCCGAGTGCTGGGACTCACTCTTGTGAGTGGTGTGCACCACCACCGCCTGGCTTATATTTCATTTTTATACTTTTGGATGTGAGCCTAGCCTTTAATGGCTGAGCCATCTCTCCAGCCCTCATATTTCATTCTTAGTGGTCCTCCATTCCTACTCTCCCTGTATCCTCCACCTGGTGGTCTCTTCTCCCCTTTCAGTAGTCCCCCTTTTGGGGGGCCCTTTTGTTTTCATGTCACATGTATTCCACAACTTTCTTCCAACCCCTTAATATCTCTATATTTTTTTCCTTTATATAGTTCATGACCCCTCCCATGCACAATTAAAATCTAGAACATGAATATGACAGATAGCATTCAATGTGTATCTTTCGACCTGTGGCTTATTTCACTTAACATAATTCTTTCTGGGTAATCAGTTTTCCTGAAAATGTCTTTTTTCCTTAAGGCTGAATAAGATTCTGTTGTCTTTAGGTACCATATCTTCTTTATCTATTCTTTTGTTTATGAACATCTAGGGTAGTTCCATTTCTTAGCTATTGTGAGAAGTACAGCAATAAACATGGATGTACAGGTTATCTACGTGATAGGGCTTTGAGTATATACTAGAGTGCAAAAGTTTTATGTGAAACCTTCACACTGATTTTCATAGTGACTACATTGTTTTGTTGTTATTGTTATTTTGTGTGTATGTGTGACTGCATTAGTTTATTTTTCCACCAGCATTTCTTTTCATCATTTGTGGTTTGCTTTTATCTTAGTTGATATTCTCAGTTGCACTTGCTACTTTATAGAAACACTGTTAGGCTTTATATTGGTTGATTCATTCATTTATTTTGATCCCCCCCCCCCACTGGCCTCGAACTCACAGAGATCCGCCTGCCTCTGCCTCCTGAGTGCTGGGATTAAAGGTGTGTGCCACCAACGCCCGGCTTTCATTTTGATTTTTTGAGATAGGGTTTCTTTGTGTCACAGTCCTAGCTGTCTTGGAACTCAGTCTGTAGACCAGGCTGGTCTTGAACTTGGAGATCCGTCTGCCTCTGCCTCCCAAGTGCTGGGATTAAAGGTGTGTACCACCATTGTCCAACAGGTTTTATATTTGTAATTATTGTTTGTTTACTTTCATTGCTATGTAAGATCAAGGCTTTTGCATTGTTCACTTACTGAATACCTAGAATTGTATCTGGTATGCATTCAGGTCATAGAAAAGTAGCAAAACACAAAATTCTAGAAAATGACATAAGGATAATGGGCTGGAGAGATGGTTCAGAGGATAAGAATGCTTACTGCTCTTTCAGAGAACTAGGCTTCAGTTCTCAGCATCCACATGGCGGCTCATGGCTTGTTAGGCGATCCCCTTTTCTGGCCTCTGGGCACTGCATGCAGCAAAACACGTATACACATAAAATAAAAATAAATTGTTAAAACATGTCTATAGATGAATGTGAAAGTTAAGTTTGCATATGTTGTATTTGTTGGGTGGTGGTGCATGTGAATAGTCTCAGCTCTTAAGAGGTTGGGGGCGGGAGGATGTTGAGTTTCAGGCCAGCCTGAGCTACATAGTGAAGTTCAGGCTCATAAGGACTACATAATGAAATTACTTTTCAAAAAGAAACACAGATTTCAAAAATGTCATGTTCCAAGAGTGGGATTGCCATCTGTAACTGGAAAGCAGTTACTGATCGTAAATTAGGAAGGAATATGTCAGAAAGCATAGAACTTTTCTAGATTCTCCCTTGTGGAGATGACTGTTGAATGCATTGTGTTTAGCAGAGCAACTGTTTTTAAGCTCTTTTTGTACCATTTTTTGGTATATCATACTTCATTTAGTGTTAAAAACTTCCTTGTCAGGTACTTGCAGAGCTACCTATTTTGTAACCATAGAAGGTGACAGATAGAGGACCTACTGAATGAAGACATGTCAGTTGAGGAAAGGCCTGGTGTTCTCTGGATGGCATGTGAAGAAGACTTTAAATTGGTTCAACATCTGTCATAAGTCACTGATTACAAAGCTCACTTTTGTTTTTCTCTGTTAGGATATAGGTACTGCCATTGTTTCAGACACTACGGACGATTTGTGGTTTTTAAATGAGTCAGTGTCAGAGGAATTAGGTGTTGGAATAAAAGTTGAAGCTGCTAGTTCTGAGCAAGCAAGTGAAGTAGGGAAAGCAAGTGACAAAAAGGTATGTTTAAACATTTTCACCCTGATTGTAACTGTCTTCATAGAATTGTCTGTTTAGGTGTTGAGTATTTCTCTGTGTGTCCAGTTTTTAGATTTAGATTAAGTTAGACAAGGCTGCCTTAGAAATGAGCCAGGTTTCATGGAGAAGCTCTTGCTGTTTTAGGGACATGCAGCCCCTTTCCTCCTTTGTAGAGGTCCATTGTAGAGTATTTCTTCTAGAAACTTTTGCTTACAAGGCAAAGCTGTAAATGACCTCAGCAGATTCTGTTACAGGAGAAAAATCCTTATGTTTTAAGAACCTTGGTAGCCTTGTAACCACTTTATAACTAAATTGGAAAAAGCTAATTTTTAAAATCTATCTAAAGTACGTATGATTTTTCTCTTATATTAAGAAGGGAATTGGGGATAGGAACTGGAGAGATGGCTCAGTGCTTCAGAGTTCTTCCTGCTGCTCTTCCAGAGGACTTGAGTTCAGTTTCTAGCACCCATGTCTGGTGGATCAGTGCTTCTCTAGCTCCAGAGGATCTAATGCTCCCTTCTGGTCTCCTTGGGCACTGTGTTCGCATGCATGAAACCACATAATTAAAATTAAAGTCATAAAATAAAAGGAGTTAGAGCTGGGTGTGGTGGTATATGCTTTTAATCCCAGCACTGGGAGGCAGAGGCAGGTGGGCTGATCTCTGGAGGTTGAGGACAGCCAGGGCTACACAGAGAAACCCTGTCTTAAAAAACTTTAAAAACAAGCAAACAAACAAACAAAAAGCAGGAATTGGATCTGTCAGTACCATGGTATGAGCACATACAGTTGAAGCAGCTCAGCTGTCAGAAGAATTGGGTAGAGAGCTAGTGCTTAGCACCTAGGCATGTCTCAGTCATACCCAGTGATTATGTGTGAAAACATACAAGACCCACTTTGTATACTAACTGAAAAAAAAATCTTTAAAAGAAGATGAAAGGAAAAACACTGAATAAATGTAGCAGTGGATAAAAGCAACAACAAAAACAAATGCTGGGTTAAATTGGGCTGTCTTACTCATATAGTTTTTCATAGGGATTTGGGTTTCTTCCTATAAATATGTGTTAGATTCTCTAAACCAATTGTAGATAACATTGGAAGGAATCTTGGTGACTAAAATGAAGCTGACAGTTTGGAAATATTTACATAAAATAACAGGTCTTAAAATACTTGAACTTTTGAGGGAGAATCATAGGAGTTTTGCCATAAAGACCTGGCTATCCCAGAACTCAGAGATCTACCTACCTCTGCCTCCTGAGTGCTGGAATTAAAGGCATGCACCACTACCACCTCGTCATTAATTGCTGTTGTGAATTTGGACTCCTCTTTCTGAATATAGAAGATATTTGGTAACCCTGCGGCTCCTTTTCCATCACTAGTGTTACTAAGTTGTAAACCGTGTGTCTCCAGGATCAAGGTTTTGGTCTGACATTTGTGTTGTCTCCTTTTTGAGTGGTAGTGATGTGGGACAGAGTGAGTTTTATATTGAAACTGTTCATCACTTTTGCTTTACTAGTCTTTCATAAAATAGGTAACACTTCTAACGAGATCTGTTTACCTTCACAGATGGTTGAAGTGGGAAAAGATGATGATGCTGAGGACCTTAAGTCGTTGAGTGATGATACCGATGTGGAGCTTACCTCTGAGGTAAAAGCGGTTTTGCTGTGGTTAATTTTTAGCTGAATCCTAGTTCCCATGCATTGAAGACTGTTATTTTTTCCTGTTTCTGTCTACTTTTCTCCTGCTTGCTAAGATGTGTTGGGTTTTTTGCATTTCATCATCTTAAGAAGTTTCTAATTGGAATTTAAGAACATAATAGATTTTTCCCCCAGATGTTTCTCTGTCCTGGAACTGCTTTGTAGACCACGTTGGCCTTGAACTCACCCTTTATCCCTACTGCTGTTGACTATTTTGGTAATTCCTTATAAATTGTCTCTCTTTGCAAAAATAAGTGATGAAATGGAACATAATTGGTCTAGTAAGTGTTCTTGACCATAATACACATAGCTGAGATGAATGTTCTCATCTTAACCAGACTTATGTAACACTTGGGCACAGAAAAGCTATTAAGCAAATAGGTATTTCATCAAATCAAAGATGCAATTGGACTTAAAAGCCCTGTTATTTTATATACTATAAAAAAAGCAATGGCAGTTAAACTATAGCATACTACCAATTATAAATTCCAAATTATTATGACAGTCTTGAGTATTTATATAGCATTTCAGACAAGATTGAAAGGTCCTAAACTGGTTAGTATTGTATTTTAACAAATGGCCTATGCCTCTCATTCTGTGCAGTTGAGTTTGTATGACCTCTGCACTTGAAGTGCTTGGCCTTCATCCTGTGTATCAGTTACTTTTCTATTGCTCTGATAAAAACACCATGACCAGGGCACCATATTTATGAAAGCATTTAATTATTCTTAAAGTTCTAGAGGGTTAGAGCCTATGATAGCAGAATGAAGGCAAGGTGGTACAAACAGTTGCTTGCTCACATCATAAACTACAAGCAGGAAGTAGAGAGCTCATTGAAGAGGCATGGAGGCTTTTGAGACCTCAGACTGGCTCCCAGTTAGTTACACCTCTTCCAGTGAGGCCATGTCTTAGTCTCAGTGTTCTGTGGTTGTGAAGAGACACCACCATAATGGCAACTCTGATAAAGCATTTAATTGGGGCCTGCTTACAATTTCAAAGGTTTAGTTCATTCTCATCACAGCAGGGAGCATGGCAGCATGCAGACCTACATAGTGCTGGAGAAGTAATTGCAAGTTCTGCATCTGGGTGCGTAGGCAGCAGGAGGAGACAGCCATTGGGCATGACTTGGGTGTTTGAAACCTCAAAGCCCACCTCCAGTGACATACTTCCTCCAACAAGGGCACACCTCCTAATTCTTTCAAATAGTGCTACTCTCTGGTGACGAAGCATTCAAATCTATGAGCCTGTGAGTGCCATACAATCACCACCACCACAACCACCACCACCACCACCACCACCACCACCACCACC